ATCCAAAATTTTTTATCATTTCGGCAAGCCCTTTTTATTTGAAATTTTTATACATCGAACATGCTCCTAGTTTGTAGCAAATAAGGGGTACAAGCGAAGTTTTCTCCAATTGTTTCAAAAAAATACTGAAGTTTTTTAAAGCCTTATTTGCGTTCACCAAATTAGTTTTTCCAGAAAAATGTTTAATTATCAAGCAAGAACCAGAATTCTGCAGTTCAAGGATGTAAGCTGCATACCCTCTCCAATTCCTCCTCCCATAGCTTTGCGAATTTTATTGTCTACTGCCAGATAACATGTTGTTTTGATTTCCGGAGCCCAGCACAGCTCGCTCCAATGCTTTCAGTATCACGTCCCGGGGTCACATTTAGTGCCCGTTCGCTTGCTATTTAACACCTCTGTTTGCTTGTTGAAAACGTAAAAATTCACAGACTGTCAACATTCAATCAGCTACAGCAAATGGAGGAGCAGTTTTGTCCCATTGTTGCAAAGAACATCGTATTACGTCAACTCTTTTTCTGCTGTCAACCATATATTCCCCAGGGGAACCTCATTATCTCCTCCGTCTGTTCTTCGTCATTTATTTCATATTTTTTCCGCTGTCGTTGTCGCTGCACTCGTTCCTTACCTAGAAATGCAATTTTCGCGCAACAAAAAGTTCATTTTCAGGTCATGGACCCGAATGGGTCATGGTCCCCCGTTGAACCAAATGATACGTCATGGCCAAGTACAACGCGACCACCAATCAAACAAGCTGGTCTGCTGTTAATCCTTATCCCTATGGTCACTATTCTCGGCAATCTACTTGTCATCATATCAGTGTTACGATATCGTGCCCTACAGACTGCTATCAATTTCCTTATTCTTGGCCTTGCTGTTGCTGATCTACTAGTCGCGCTATTTGTCATGCCATATGCTGTTTATGTTCATGTAAGTCTTATTTTTTTTCAAAGTGAAAAAAAAATTTAGGAACGACAGTAACCTTTAGCTTATTTGATACTTAAATTTGAAATTAATATTTCATACCGGAACAGCGTATTATATTTTTTTAAAAACTCAATCGCTTGACATTCAGCCGATTATCAGTATAAGAATGATTTCCTATATCGCCTTGGAAACATCTAAAGGTTATCGTTTTATAAATTTGCCAGTTCATCAGACTTTTCATAAATTTGCCGGTTCCTCAGACTATCTCCTCACAAGGACGACCTCCATTCATAGACTATTTTAGAAATGTATAAAATTATGTAAAACCATTAAAGTGTCATCGTGTAATGACATCCCTTTGACGGTTTTCGGATAAATAACTACAGGGCCAGTCCTATTTATTATCAGTTTATCCGTAAGCTTATTATAGATTTCACCTACCATTAATTACTTACAAAGGAAAATGTTTCCATTTCAGCCGTTGGTCTTTTCCCAGCTTTCTCATCGTAAATAATAGTGTTTCCCGATTTTCTGCTTTTACATAGTTCTTTTCAAAAAGTGGTATTTTTCAACAGTTCTCTCAAAGCTCATAGATAGCTTTAGCTTTATTTTCAACCCTCCTTCTATAATTCCCACACAAGTTCCACTTTCCAATAACCAATTTGTAACGTTTCGGCAAGCTTTCCAACAAATTGGAGAAGCATTGGCCATGCAGTGAGGACATCCAATCTGAATAAAATCCCATGAATTCCTGGCAAATTACTTTTTGATAGGGAATAACGATATTCATGCGCTTACACCAAAACCAAAACTATAGGTGTATTTTTTTGGAAGAAAACATCTCATATTCTTGTGGCACTTCAAAGCCTAGCAACTCCTTTTTTCTCAATAACAATTCATAAAAATCAGGGTCAGTTAACTCTGGGTTTTTAATAAAAATAACTTTTCTTGTTGTTTTTTGCATTTTTTGCTAGACTTGCAAGTATTGTTTATCAGTGACTACTTACATCACAAATCACACCTTCCAAGAAAAATCATGTGCGAAACATTCTGGAAGTTGCGATGCAAAATATCTTTTGCGTATAAACGTTTGCTGGAT